TAGTCAACATATGTAACGTCTAATGGGTGTCTCGCGACGTCCTTAAATTTAACATTAGGAATCCGCTTCATGAGTATTTCCGCCGTTTTCTTGTTTAAGAAAGACACGGGACTGCCAGTGTCCACCGTAGCATAGAAAAAGGAGTTACCAGAACGTAACTGAATTCTGAGGCTCCTTGGTTGTCCTCCCGCTGCCTTCAGAAGTTCTACATTGTTAATCTGCACAACGTCTATCGCCATGACCCCATATTCCGGCTCGCTGTCACCATTTACGTCAATTAAATTGCACTCTTGATCTGAAGATATCTCTTCATTTTGTACTATGTTAACACGTTGTTTTGTAGCGTTACACACCTTAGCAAAATGTCCCTTCTTTTTGCAAGCATTGCAAGTAGCTTCCCTGGCCGGGCACGACCGGCGATGTTCAAGAGAAAACGGGTTACCGCAAAAAATATTATGGTTTATTTTGACTTTGTCGTTGGTTAGGACAATTTACACCTCCTCCCCGGTTGTTATTTCCTTGATTCTTGAATTGTTGTACTGACGAAGTTGGTTCCTGCTTGACTCGAATAGAGTTGGTAGTATTGGAAGTAGCGTTGTTATGCGGGAGCAATTTCTGAAATTGTTCTGATGTTTTAGCCCCTTTCTCATTCTCCAATGCCAGTTGTAGATTATCGTCAAGATTAGCTTTTGCTCTGATTAATTGCCTCTGAACCTCCACATCGCGAATGCGGCCATGAACAAGTCTTTCAACGTCGCTCTTTCCTGATCGAGCGGCCAATTACACAGCGCAGTTTGAGCGCTAATTCGGGCATAAAATGATGAGAATGAGTCATTATCCTGCATGAAAATTGTATTATACAACTTTATCCTTTCGACTATGTAGTCCCGCTCTGCCTTGAAAAGATCTTCGCAGCACTTGTGAAAATCAATGAAAGAGCTAGTATTGAGGTCCAGGTGAGGGTAAGAATCCAAAAACTGTTTTTTTCCCTCATTTCCCAGCGCGAAGAAAAGTCGCAATTTCAAACGCGCCTCTGCCTCATGGTAACATCAGTTATGTCCAATGCGAGGTCCTTTCCTCCTCCTCTCTTGATTGTACTCATCGATTCTTCTATTGGCTGCTGGTTCCTATTGGTTACATCTGCTGCACTTTCATCCGTTCCCGTTGCTTCAGGCTTCGGGTAAGGTTCATCCACTAACTCTGCTGGGGCAACTAGGACCTCCCCCGGTGAAATATTGTCTTTGAGACTAACGGCCAAAAAAAACTGTCCCACCCAAGTTTCCCAAATGAAAGGTGGGTTAATCGATGTTTTCGCCCAAAAGGGTGGTATTCCGAGTAGGTCAGTGCTGTCTTCATTCACAGGAACTGCTGGCTGCGCCATGAGAATTCCCTCAGTTGGAGTAGGGAAAACAGGATTGTAAAAATTGGATATTGAATTAAATATGATATATAAATAGATAGAATAGAATAGTGTATATATGAATAACGATTCCAGATTGAATGTATTGTTTTGAATAACAAGAATGTTTTAACAACTAGAATTCACACTTAAGGCTTTCGCAAGTGACCGCTTCAGGTTCTCAAGTGACAAACGATTTGACTGGTGAGATTTGTCCTTGAATCAATTTACTGCACTATAAGTAGATATTTAAGACATAGTTAAATAAAACATACATAAGTAAATAGAATAGAATGAGGTACCGAAGGTCGCCTCATGACAACTGTTGTATCTTTCTGACAATCTCTGCAACTCTGATGTTGAGATTAAATTCAAGTAGACGTCTAAAATCGAAAGGGCTTATAATAAGACCGAAAGGTAATCTATCAACCCTTCAATAAAAAAAAAATCCGCTATCTATATTCGTGATGGCCTTTGCGCTAACGATCTTGATATTCTCAATAGCTTAATCAATTTTCCATGAGGCGAAATCTATCTCAAGTTTCACCTTCTCGCACTCACTTGCACGAATCACCGCTCTCAAACTGTTCTCCCTATAAGCTGTAAAAACTGTTCTCAGTAAAAGTACGCTATCCGTTTCTTTTAGTTAGGATAGTCTACTTTTAGTTTTGTTCGCCCAATCCTCTGCAAGATATTCCCGTGACGAAACTGTTGAAGTTTCTCGTGTAGACGTAAACGAGAATTAAGATAACCAAGATGATTTTCGATTTTTATCCTTCCCAGTAAGTAAAATAGACCAAAAACACTGAAAGCCGAAATATTGTTCTGACGTCTAAAAACACCCATATTTGAGTCTCGTGTTCGAGACTTTGTTTTCAATTAATTCAAATACCGTGAAACACAAATTGATCTGCAAAAGCCATGTTGTCGAATCAACAACAAAATCAATGGAAAAAAGTCTGAAAACGCCACATATAGATCTGATGGAAATTTTGATGATTAAAAAACAGCTGTACAGCTATTTTCTTTTGGCCAAACAGTTTTAATTGTAGTCAAAACTCTTTCGCATGCTATATGATTGAAATTCTCTTTGAAAGAACTAAACACTTCTTTCGAAACTGAAAAAAAGTCTATTAAAAATTTGGTGTCGCAGAGTTTTTGCTTCGACCTTGGAAAATGGGGAGGAAATTTGTATTCGGGCGTTTTATATACATTTTTTTCACGCAAAATCAAAAATCACAGAAAATCATCGGAAATATTGAGTAAATTACCAAATTGAAGTCTTCAAATATTCAAAAAACAATACCCATGGTTTAAAAAATTAAATTTTTAGTTCAAATTTAGCGAGCGAGCAGCCTTACAATAGTCTACTTTGCCTAATTAAGACCCTGAAAACTAAGTTTTACTTAAAATAAAATTATCTTTAGAATTTTCAACGCCATTTTAGGAATACAGAACTCAAAAAATCCAAAAATTTTCTGCAAGAAATTTAAGTTTTATTATTATTTTTTAGTCATTTTTCTACAAAAACTGTCGACCAATTCGCCTATTTTGCTATGACTATCGATTATGTTTGTATACTAGTTGTACGTTTAGATCATCCACGCAGAAAAACTACTGCGTGGTTTACATCACGCAGAAAAAACTACGCAGAAAAAAATACCATGCAGAAAAAACTATCAGAGCACGCATAAAAAACTAGATATGAAAAAAAAAATCTTTTTTGAAGTTGAAAAAAATCATTTTCTGGATGATTACGTGAGGGGTTGTTTGCAACTTCAAGTACTTTTCGGGGTCCATTTCAAACACTTTGTGAGATCCCTTCGCGAGCAATGCAACGGAGTCAGAGCCAGATGCAATGATCCCAAAAAACGGCACGCAATGATCTTAAGCGACCACCCTATGCGGCAACTTAATTTTGAAACCCATCCTTGTCCTTATGGAAGATAGCAGTATGCTGGCCCACTAACAAACAAGGATTATGTGCACCACTCACAAAAACAATATATTAACAGAAATTTAAAACCTTCAGTTTCATCTAAAATACTCCATCACCTTGAAGACCATTGAAAATCAAGAGAAGTTTTTCATTGATATTCATGATTTACACTGGAAAAGCTAACCCACTTTCAGAAAAACTGCCACAAGTTTTTCAGCAATTATTTAAAAAATAGACAGATATTCTGTTAATTTTTTTAAGACAACAACATAAACTTGATTAAACTCATTGAAGGGCATTGCTTTCTTTTTCTCTACGTTTGGGTTGGTTTCTTAAATTTATCTGTTGAGTAGCTGTAATTTTGAAAACTGAAGCGCATTTATTTCAACGTGATATAACAAATTTGGAAAATCTGCCAACTTACTTTCAAATTGACTGACGTAACAAAATCAAATTATTTGGCGTGAAACATCCAGAGAATAATTAAGAAGGTATCAAACGTCTTAGCTGCAGCGAACGCACGCAGGCTATTTTAGCCTTTTTTAAATACAGCAATGATGTGTTCGCGATACCAGGTAGCAAAGAATTTGTTTTTTCTAAAATGGACGTCAATTGATTTGCTGTTCAATTAACTATTTAGCTTCGCACGAAAATAAGCGTCTTGTAAGAAAAAACGTGACCTGGTTTTATCACTTTATTTGCCAGCTCGCGTACAGTGCTGATTTAAATTAACCGGACAAAACGCTTTAAACTTGAAATTTAAAACCGGTTTTTCTCAAATTGGGTTGAGTTTAGGTGAAAACTTACGAAGACAAAACTTGCTTAAAATTTTAGCAGAATTAATATGGTGTAATTTGTCTTTTGGGTAATTTTGGCTTTTCTTAGTTAAATGGGTAATTTTAGCTTTTCTTAGTTAATCAAAAATTACGCCGAAAACACCCAGTCGATCACAGACATAATTATATCAAAGTGAGCCCCTTACATAGCCCAACAAACTTTAAGAAGGGTAGAATCTCCAAAATATTGTAGAAGTTAATTTATTTTTGTTTGATAGACAAAAAAGGTCGTTTTTACTATATAAAATACCAACTTTTTATTTAAAAACAATTATTAAACAACTTGCAATTTTTTTGGAGAAAATACCCTTCTTAAAGTTTGTTGGGCTATGTAAGGGGCTCACTTTGATATAATTATGTCTGTGATCGACTGGGTGTTTTCGGCGTAATTTTTGATTAACTAAGAAAAGCCAAAATGACCCATTTTTGTGGTAAAACTTCGGGCCCGAATTTCGCAAAACAAATTACACCATATTAATTCTGCTAAAATTTTTTCTATGAAGCAAGTTTTGTCTTCATAAGTTTTCGCCTAAACTCAACTCAATTTGAGAAAAAAGGGTTTTAAATTTCAAGTTTAACGCGTTTTGTCCGGTTAATTTAAATCAACACTGTACTCTGACTTCATGATTACAGGTTAAAACTCAAGATGACAGGTTCCACTTCTTTGAATTCGAAGCTGGATTGCCGTACAAATGATTTGATTGCTGGAAAAACTTTCCCTAAAAACGTTTTTTCTCCCCTCAACCGTTGGTGCGGCAATTTTTTTAAAAACTCCAGTTACTCGATTGGCACAAACAGGTGCTTGAAAAAATCTATTAATCGTGTTAAAATATTTTTAAAGTATCTAAAATATTTACAATTTCAACAAAATATTTACATCAACATTCATATTTACAGAAGAAACATATTTTTTCAAGTAATAACTAAATTTATATACAGTTCTTAACCTTTTTTGAAGTCAAATAGTGTCCGCTTTCACACTGGTGGTAAGGGCTTAAGCGATAAGGCAATCATAAAGGATACCAGAACCACGCCAGAAGTAGTGCGATCAATCGCAAACTACCTTTTAATCATAACTAATCAACTAATTAGTTATTTGCCATGCATTGTTTGTTGTTCTCTATCCTGAGACTGTCACAGAGGGAATCTACGACCACTTGTCCATTGTGGGAGGAGTTATGGACCAGACGCATGAGGTCGAACTCGTCCATGCCCAACTGATAGACTGTGTTATAATTCCTCAACAGTCTCAGCGCCTCCTCACTTCCCACGTAGCCTGTGCAAATTCACAAATTATACATCGGTAACTTTTAAGCAATGCAAGAAGTGATATTTTCGTCCAACATTTTTCTTAAAAACTGCTTCATTGGCGACAAAATTGTTCGGATTCTATTGAACGCGGGACGAAAATTATCCGAGGTCACGATTGAGCTCAAAAATTGAAATATCCGACCCTGCTATTTGTTACTACTTATAAAAGCGCCTTTTAGCTAAATAAATTAGGTATCAATTACGTAGTTCGTTCAATATATGTTGAGCAGTGAAACATTGTCAAATAAATTTACGGCCCATTTAAGGGCTACGGTATCTGATCAACCTGCTTTCATTCTATTTGAGATGAATCACGAACCCGAAGCAGAGTTCCAATTACGATTTACAAATTTAATATCTGACATCCACGGTTTGGTTTAACAAAGATCCTAAAAGATCACATCCTATACATAACTAACCCGTTTGGTCTATGTCTACACTTTTTAGGGCCCTGGTCAGATTCTGGATTCTCGACTGCATGTCTTCGGTTGTCCCAGGACCGCCGCCGTTTATCTGATCCTGGCCAATCCGATAATCCGGCGGGGGTCTATCCTCGAACCCGGCATAGTTGTGAGTATTTTCCTCCCGCTGTAATTGGTCTTCCACATGCCTGCTGTAGGGCATTCTATTCGCAGAACCTCCGTTGCCTAAAGGGCGAAAATTAAAAATGGTCTGATTAAAAAGGTCAAAGTTAGTTTTAAATTCTTACGATCATTAATTTTAAGCTTGGGTTCAAATGATCTTATACAGTCAAATCACCAAATTCCAGCAAATCAGTAGTTAAGTTCACCTAATTGAATATTTTTCTTCTTTAAAAACAGCCGAAACTTAACGAAATTTGATAGCAGCTTAAATATCTTTTACATTTAAGCTCAGAGCATTGATATCTTCAATATTGTATATGTTTCTCAAAAACTATTTCGATAAAATTTGCACTTAAATGTGTAACTTTTACTGGAAAACGTGGACTACGGGTATAACATCACGCTGGCAAGATTGCCTGTGTACATAACTACTAGCTGCACGCAACTTTCAACTTGGTTGTCCTCTTAAAGGAAAAACACAACCTGCAATAAAGGTTTGCGTGGAAACGTTTTCACCAATGCCAAAGTAAATTGGCCTACCTAGATGGTTCGAATCCTGCGGATCATAAGAGTTCACTTGTTCTGAATAGTAATTGTTCTGATTTAGAGCTTCAGTTGGGACTGCATGATCTTGTAACGGTATGTTTGAGGGCGGAGCATTCTGGTTGGTTGGCGAGAGAGGTGCCTTCTTGAGCGTGAAAGGCTGCACTCGTTCGAGGAACTCGACAATTGAAATCCAGCTAAAATCAAAGACACGCAAAATCAACCATGCAAGCATATGCATTTGAAAACCTAATGGTTCGCCTTTTTTTTTAAATCAGTCAAAACAAAAATTCAATTACTGCTGATCAAGAAACGGTACACTCCAATTAACCACTTATATGCTCTCCACTCACTTTTCAGGAATTAGAAATAATTGAAGTGTGACTAATGGCAATTGCTGCATTCAACCGGCGAATTTGTCAACAAATCATAAAATGCTGAAGTCTCACCATGAGTTGTATCCTGTGTTGTCTATGTCACATCGGTTGAGGAAGGCATCTAACAGCCACTCGTCGAGAGACACAGAGTTCTTGCGCAGGATGTCCTTTACCTAAAAACATCACAACACCCCTATATTAAGAAAGTTACAATCAATCATTATTCTCTGCTGCGTCCACATGCTTGGATTGCTAGTTAGGATATAATTATTATTTTTTAAATTTTCAGACGCTTCAAATCTTCTTAATTAACGCAAATGAAGATCAGAAGTAAAATTTCGATATAATCCAACTCTTTTCTCTACTACGTTATAACACGACGATAACATCCACTTTAAACCGGTACAACACACACCTTGCGCCTGGATAGGAATGTAGTTTTTTGGGTGTCTGCATCGTAAAAGGCCTTCTTGATCTGATCTAGACTGATGTTGCGGCCCTTCTTGGACAGGTGTGACACCAGAAGAGTGAGCAGCTCCGCATCCTCGCTGTCCATTCTACATTGAATTGAAAAGATAGAATAAACGGATGTGATTCATAATTCAAGGAAATATTCATAAGAAGCAGATGTTTGAGACGCAATATAAGCTATGGTGAGAATGCATGTTGATTTATCCGCTGAAACCCTGCAAAAGCCCCGATCTTACAGCTATGTTCGACTTTTTGAATTTTAGTCATAAATTCACCACAACGAGTTCGCATTCTAGGTAACATCAAGTATACTTTGCAAGGTAGTTAAGCCAAAAAATTTCGACATACTTGGTATTTTTCTGGGGCGTTGATGGCTTCGGAGACATTGGCTTTTCTCGAGGATCCTCATTTTGTTGATGATGCCCATTCTGGTTATGAGGGAACTCTTTCTGTTCAGTGAAGTGTGTATGAGGCGCTTCCGTGTTTCTGTTATCTTCTCTTGCCACTTCATACTCCTCCGTCACTGGAAACTGATCGAGATCATTTCTGTCTCTGATCTTATCTGCATGATGATCTCTATTTTGTACGTTCTGAGTCCAGGTAGAAGTTGACTGGTCTATCTTTTCAGTTGGCAGCTGTCCATTTGATGACTTGTTTTGGACTTCCCGGAAAGTCTGCAAAAAAGAAATTGAATATCAGAGATTCTGTATTGGCGAATAATTTCCTTCAAAAAATTTCACCAGTATTTTCAAAAATATATGTTTTCAATAATACTTGTTATTAGTATATAATACAGACCAATCCGAAAAATCTAAATCTGAGGACACACCGGCTTATACACTCTTCTACACAGTTCAATCAAATGCACTGGCAAAAACCATACGTGCTAAAAGATGCCTGCAGTACCTCAAAAAAGTATCCGAAATCTGCGACACGAATACCAAAAATTGTCACAGATTCCAACAGGATTCGATTTCGAGTTAAAATCAAATATATATAAAATAAGAATGGAGAAAATTTTATTCTGTAAGATGGGACACCTCTGGGAAGCGGTAAGGAATACTTAGTTTTCGCATTGTCTTTTTCTTCGTAGATGGAACAACTTTAACCAGGATTTGTCAATTTCTCCTTATAAGCGACGATAACCGAACAGAATTTTCTGGTCGAATTTGCAAGCAAATATCAAGCCACCCATTCAATTATGATGGACTTTGAAAATTCTCCTATCAACTCTGAGGGTGACAAACTTAAGGATACAGAAATCAAAATTTGTTTGTTTACCTTGTCTGAAACTATTTGTACGACAATATTCTAATTTGGTTATGCTGTCCAACATCTCGAGTACTAGGATTTTATTCTATCTACACTTCTTCTGGCTGCTCTTGCTTTGATAACAGTTTATCACGTAAACACCCAAAAATGAATAAACTTTGGAAGCATCGTAAACAACATTGATGGCACTTTCAAAGGCAAAGAAACCCGAAATTCGACAAAACGAAGTCGTGATTTGACATGCGAAACTTCATTTCAGGACCATTGATAATCACCCTAAGACAAACGAGACCTTGAAAGATTTCACCGTAGCTTTGAGTCAATGCTCCAAATGTCAAATCCTGATATATGGAAGTTCATGAAAGCCATTCAGAGGCAGTAGTCACTGAATCATTTGGTTTTCTCTCAAACGCAGCCTCTTTTCTTGTGAGAATAAATCACAAGAACGGAGGATGAAATTGATTGGGACAAAAAAGGAGTCGTGTGCTCTGCCGCTATTTACAAAGATCTCTATTATCTCTAGGCCATAGCTTTTAACTTGTCCTTCTAGTTTTGAGTCTTCAATTATTTTAGGGTTTCTCTTTAATTAGTTATCTTTTATCATTTCATTTAATTTTCAAAGTCTGCTTGTTCTTCAATTCAAATGTGGTGCAAACAAAAAGTTCCTAACTTTCAAAGAGTCCGAACAAAAACTCAAATAAAGCTTTGATGCAAGAAACGTTGTCACCTCTTTCACCAAGCATGATTGATTGTTTTTTCACTATTCCGCTGGAACTTAACAGATACTTCGAATTAATTTTTAAACCTTAAAGTCATTCATGTTTTTTTTTGCTTTGTGCACTTTCATTACTGGAGAGCGTAACTAAAAAATGAATCGAATTAAAAAAAAAACGAACAAAAGTCCGCAAAAAATCAAGTTTCAGACTTTTTAATGGAAAAAAACACGGCCCATACAAGTGTCGCTCATTGATTTCTACAAAAAAAAATCAGCCGAGAGCCATTCGGAAAAAAGTCATTGAACGCAAGCCAAAAGATAATTCAATATTGACCACTTTTTGATAACATTAACCTAAATTAAGAAACTGGATCAATAGTTAAATGTAAACGCTGGAAAGTGGTAAAACAATAGTCCACTTCCGAAGCAAATAACATTGCCAACAGATGGTTGAAGAAGAGTCAATGACGCACGGAAAAAAACTGACTTGTTTTTTGAAGAAATTTCAACCTTCGAATTTCAAAAGAAAGGCGCTTTGAATTTCGAGAACAATTAATATGATTGAGTTTTACGATAAAATTAACCCAGTGTGAAAACTTGATCAATAAGTAAAATTTTTATTTTGCCGCGAAATCAGAAAATTCAATATCACATTCGAAACTAGAGGTCAATCACGTTTTTCGTGACCTTTATATTTCAGCTGTTCGACAGTGGAGCTTACAATCCTTTTACACAGAGGCAAAACTTCGCTTTGCAAACACTAGCGAAACACTACAAAAAGCAGCTCTTTAGAGTTCAATAATAAAAAATGGAAATAAGCCTCGAATTAGTAGAAAAATGGGCTTCGCCTGAGAATCGAAACCTGCGACCTAGAGATTAAGAGTCTCCAACACTAACCCACTAACCAATCAGCCACGGACGCTCAATAGGCACAAAACAATAGCCAAAAATAAAGCAGAGAACAGTTGCAATGCAATTTCCAATGCTACAATGAACACTTATTTGCGAGCTGGGTTAGAAAAAAAAGAATGTTCGTAATAATACATTAAGCTGGTCAATAGTGCAAACAAAGGGTATGAGCTGAACTATAAAATAAATCAGAAGCCAAACCGCTAAAAATTTAATTTGAGCCGGAACAAACTTTAGGACTTTTCCAGAAAAAAAAACATGGCGACCTATATAAAAGTATGAAAACTAAATTCCACTTTCGAAACTAGGAATCGATCAGATTTTTTGCACCAATTCCTCTATCGTAATTGGAGAGCGAGTTTTGCCTAATTTTTAACAAATTAATTTGAATTAAACTCAAAAGAGCATATATACCAAGGGGAATTCATGAAGGTATTAATATGTACGAAAGCACTTCTGTAGTTATTAGAGCACTTGCTGAAAAAAATCTACGTTTAACGACTCTTAAAAATCATCATGAACTAAGTGAGTGTCTTCACTGCGTTCATTGACATTTAGTCAGAAAAAGTTCGGTGCCGAAAAATTCAAACTTTCAAGAGCTTCGTATCCTTTAACAGCTCTTACCGGAATTTCATCGGTATCTGCTGCACCTTACTGACACCGGACAAAAATTGCGGGTGATACATCTTTTGTTTTTGCAAAAGAAAGTAAGATGAAAACTTACCTGTGCTAGAGCTCCATTTTCCAGAGCAGCTTGTTGACTTGGGGCTGGCAGAGGAAACGCGAAAGGCTCCGCAACACTTCCTCCGACTGGCCTCTTTTTATATTCGGCAATCTCAAAAACAGTGTCCAGATAGATCAGCAGTTTTTTGTAGTCAACATTGTTCGGATCTCGCACGAGAGAGAAACGGTCGAAGAGCTTTTCCAAAACTCTGGCAGTCAGTGGCAGTTTGCACGCAATGCAGACACTCGCCAGATCTCCCCTGTATACTTGGTCCGTCAGACCTCTGTCGAAGTTTTCAGCCACTGCCAGATAAATTTTCTTAAGGTATTCACGAGGCCAATCTTCAAGCAGACGTTTAACCTACAGAAACAAAGGCTAGGTGGGTTCAAAGGAACCAAAGATATCGAGTGATTTACTCAGCTTTCAATATATAATATGGTTTAGAACTAACGGTCAACTTTCAAGCACAACGTCAATTGTACTTTTTTTTGAAAACATACAGAGCTGTGTTTGTTTAATTAACAAGCTTTTCACGTGATACTGCTTTTCTAGTCTTATTTTTTTCTTAATCTTGAGCTTCAAATATGGTGTGTTTAAATACACTAAAATATGATTACGATGACGGTAATCATGAGCATATGTGGCTCCAGCAAACGGGCGATTTCATCATACTCGTTGAAAGCAGAAAATTTTAAAACACTCAAATCTGATTGGCTGAAAAAGCCCACAAAGCGCAGTGTTGAAATATTTATGCAAAATTGTGCAGAAAATTGCTGATAGCAAACCGATGCAAATTAATATCAGTTTTTGGAATATTTTTTATCGAACATTCACTTCTTGATAATTGTATGGCTTAATTTTGTATCTCTCACTGAGCACTCTCAATGGTAATTTTGTCTGCTTTGTGGCCTGTCTGTTTACTAGTTTGTCTGCTTATTGCTCTGAAACCCCACGCAAACTCAGCCCACCTGTATGGCTTGACTCATGTCAGCATTACTGTTGATCTTCTCCGGCTTCCACTTCACTCCATCCATGTAGTGACCATCAGACCGCTCCTTCTCACGCATTCTGAAGGGACCATTGGGCAATTTGCCCGAAATGGGAGGCAAAGGACTGCGTTTAACCCACAGAGGCTGTCCTATCTCTTCGCGAACTGATGGAGGATAGAATGGCACGTCCCCCTCATACTCATGCATTAATTTTTCGCTCTTCTCCCGCTGACTAAAGCAAATTGTCATTTTTAATGCATCCAATAAAAATTGACTCGGGCAACGAAAAGACTACAAATAGAACCAATAGATCATACTGAAAACCTTCGAACCTTCCCAAAGCCTTTGTGAATGTCACTTTACATTTTAAGACACTTTTAAAACACATTTTAAGAAAACTGGAACAATATGGTTTCTGTGTTCTACTAGCGAGTCTAAAAACTCTTTCACAACTGACAAAGAGTACAGCAAAAAAATGAACATAGAAGCTTGAAAGGTTGTTTTAGAGAAAAAATGTTTTCCGTTTTCAAAAAAGGGAAACCGATTGGCATTGGCTGGGTACCCAGATCACACCGGTTGATCACCAACTTACGCTTTAACGACTAATCTGACTATTCCTTTAGCTTGGAATAATCAGCTTCGATTTAAGTCAAAGGGCGAAAAGGCAAATTCATTCAACTCAAAAGCGAGTACTTCAGGTATACTTGGCCTAGAGCTTCAAAACATCTAATATTACACAGAGAGACTTAAAAAAGGGTTTTATTAAACGCTGTATTGGTGTGAAGCATGAGATGAGGCTGAACTCCATCCTTATCCAGATATTTGGCTAGTCAATTTCGAAATTGAAAGAAGCTAAGAAAACGACCAGTCGATGAATTAGATTGTTGATGATCGAGTAAATCTACTTGACAGAAAAGAAAAGAGGAATCAGACGAGTAAGTCGGATGAGCCGAGAAAGAGGGAGGCGTCCGAACTACAACGGATCCTATAGAAGAGCAGCAAAAGGACTCCAAACAAGGGAAAAAAAAGACACTGAGTTGGAGAAACCGGTCAAAACAATATCTCATGTCGATTCATCTCCGGCAACCGAAACGGCTAAACTAGAAGCAAGTACTGAAAAACGGAGACATATAAATCAAAGAAAATGAATATTCCATTAATTACAGAGACGAATCAGAGCCGGAGCTTGGCACAACGTGCGATACATCACAAATATATATAAAAAAACATAAATGGAAAAGCGGACCTTAACAGGGGGAGAATTCTTCTACTGCTGCATGGGAGGGATTCTTCGGAGTGGGAGATATCGGCGGTCTGAATGGATGTAGTTTTGGGGGACGTGCTCCTATAATAGCCTGCTCGAAACTTTTATCAGTATGTCGGAACATAAGATCAAGTAGTGCCGGGCAGATATTCCGGGAAGTCTGATGTTACGATAGAGAAAAAATGGTTTAAAGGGATATTAATTTTGAGGGTAGACTGAGCAAAAAGTATTTGATGATGGTGATCAACGCGTCAAATTTTAAATTCAGATTGTACATGTTCTGGAGCACTCATTTTCATGCAACGTAAGATGCTTCGAAGAGCGGCGTTTTGAACTACTCGTATGGGCGGCATGGAACCATAAAAGGCATCTATAATTTTGAATTGGTCAGACCAAAGCCTTTTACGTGACCAGTAATATCTCTTTTTATTGACGCTAATGACGTCCAGATAAAGCTTTCAGGATCGATATCCTGTGCGAGACTTTAACTGAGGTCGCTTACAGTGCCCTGCGAAGTTAATGGATGGTTCAAAGAAGACGAGTACTTTAGGATTCTTTTCTGAGGGCAGGAGTGTAGAGTCCATTTTCACTAACGGGTCATTATTGATCTACTAATTGAACGAGGAGAAAAGGCTGTCGAATCCTTTTGTGAAGAAACAAGAAATCCAGATATAAAAAGTTGGTGTACCTTGGTTAAAAATATATTTAAAAAAGAGAAGGCAAATTAAAAATTACTTGACTGAACAAAGGTGAAAATCAACTGCTCACGATTCAGGTAAGATATAAACGTTAAATTGAAATAAGAAAGGCATAGGACTGAGGATTGTGGGACACCAATGCGTTTAGCATCCCTAAAACTATCTTTGCTTGATGACCGCCCAGATACTTTGATAGCAATCTAATTAACATTCCTGGTAGGCTGGTGCCATGAAAAAAAGGATTGTAGCGGCGGTTTAGAGCATCGAAGAAAACCATGTGAATGGTCAGCTTTAGGTAAATGTATAGTTAGTGTTGGGTAAATTAACGGATCTTTCATAATTTATTAGAGGCAAAGCGGCGCTTCGCAACACTTGGACACAAGAAAAAACATTGCGTTACAAGATAGTGAGGGGAAAAGAAAAGTAAAGAAACTACGTTTAAATTAAAGTCGAAAGTTAAATTAAAGTTAAGAAAACCTCAATTCAAAAAACTGTACCGAGAAAAATTTCGTTTCTGTATAGGATGATATTTATAAACAGCCTAAAAAATTAGGAACCATTGACCAATCGGTGACTAAGACGGAAAAATATGTATTTATTTTTGAGCCGAAAACGAAACTTGTCACATACAATTTAGAAGTTTTTATGACCTATCGGTACTGAAACACATAATCGCATGCATCAGGATATACTTTTTTTTGCAATATAAGTTGATTAAGCCTATTTAACAAAAATCACAACTGATTAACTAGAAAAATAACGAACAATTTCAATATCAGACATTGTAAAAATTTCAAATTGCAAAATTTCAAATAAAAGTTTCAATTATAAAAAAAATATCAACTTAAAAACCAAGCTTTAGATAATACGCCAAAAAATTTTACTTGATAAAAAATAGCGTTTTTCAAAAAGAAAAACGAAAAATGAACTGACAGAAATTGGGACAAAAACAACGAAGCCGAAAAAAACCTTTACCAAACTTATCCCACCCTCTTCAACAGTGGAGCGCGAAAAGCATGCTCGAACTTGATTTTTGGTTACGACGGAGGTTCTCAAGACAGCTGGGTTGCTCCGACTAAATTTAATACTTTTTTGTTAGCCACCGATCCTGCTCAATGCAGGACCAAGCGGGGATGAGGTTGATGTCATCCATTTTGCTACAGCCGGTCCAACCTTGAGAGCAGGCGGATGACACTGGAAGCCCTAAAACCATCACCGAAAAGAGATTCGAAAGCACGACCCAAGAGTTGAGAGACGCATGCGTTACCCCACTCGGCCATGGCTGCTTTTCTTAATACTTCTCTTTCCCGTCGTCACAAACATCAACCCCCGGACCTTAGACCTGACCACTGTGCGAGCGCAGTGGTCTGACAACTCTGAAAAACAACCAAGATTTTTACTGTCTCATCTGCACAGCAAATTAAATCTTGCTCGTCACACTAAAAAATGCAGCAAACCGAATAAATGAAGCGCTTTCGTTAATATAACATCATCAGCAAATGTGACGCTTGATATATTGATAAAAAAGCAAACAGTCCGGTTCTCGTCTCGAGCTTAGCTGTTGATGTTCAAAAACGATTTGTAAGGCCTTAATAGCTTATAATTGTCATTCGCGGAGTCAATAAATCTGGCATGAATACCGAAAGAGGAGAGACTACACTCTCTGAAGTGGCTGCCAACACGAGCTTCTTGATGCGTATGTTTCCCAAGTCTCTTCATCAAATAACCAACCGAACGTCTGACAGACATAACTGTCGTTTGGTAGACGACGTGACTTTGAAAGCAAAAGGGACTGACAACTCAAGCGACGGCCGAAACTTTTTAAGTAAGGAGTGGTAAACACCACTAAGGTGTTGAAGCACTTGCAATATTGATTAAAACAAAATTCAACAATATTTATAGATAAATTTCATACAGGCGAAGCGGAGCTCCGCGCAACTTGCGATAGATCAAAAACAGAAGAAAGCTGTCAAAAGGAACAACTATTGGCTTCATTCTAACAGTAGAACAAAAACTACAAAAAGGTAATTAAGCCGACAATTACAAACACCGACTAAAAAAAGCCAACTGACAGTTGGAAAAGAGTAATGAACGCAAAGAAACTTAGTTTTTTTTTAATCTCAGCCTTCGATTTTCAAAGAAAACAAAAGATGGCTCTAAACCTCTTCGAATTTCAAGAACAAATTATAATTGACAATTTTTTCATGAAATTAACTCAATTTCAGAAAACTGGATCAATACGAAGAACTTTTTTTTCGCTGGGAAATCTGATATTTAATTTCCATTTTCGAAATCAGAAGTCGATCACGTTTTTCGTGATCTGTACACTTTAACTAATCGATAGCGGAGTTTGCCTTCCTTTTAACAATGGAAATGCACTGAATTCGAAAAGAAATCACAAATCAAACCGCGAAAAATCAAAATTGAGCGTGAACAAATTTTACGACTTTTTCATGAAAAAAAAATCACCAAGACTTATATGGTCTTCGCGCACGAACGAAAGCTGTTCATCTCAGCGACGCAGCGCAATAAACTGGAGACCTGTAACAACCATGCTGCTCGTATTATTGTTGGAGCACCAGCAGGATCACCATCCCCACCAACTAGGTGCAAAGCAGAAATAGACACCCTGCAACAAGCAGGAGCAGACGGAGCGGGTAAGCTTCTGTCGAAGTGCGAACGTTTTAGAAAAACCTTCCTCTGCGTCTGCTGGCGCAAACTTAGGTTCACCCTAGGCTGAAATCACTATGGGAGAATGTCCTCAGATCAGACTGGAGATCGGCAGGCCAGCAAAGACTGCAAGAAAATAATGTCGATAACATTTGGGAGGATATTAATGTCAGGCAAGACCGACACAGAAACAAGTATCTTGAGGACGTGGACTACAACCAGCAGCATAGACTTATAAAAGACGGCTATCCACGAGCCTTAACGAAAAGCTCTCAAGAGATGAAGAAGTCACGATAAGCAGACTTAGACTAAATGGTGCCCCCTTTCTATAAAGCACGAAATTCAAACATAAGAAGTCACACTCCGGTTTGCCTATATTGCAATCTGGGCAAAACTGAAGTCACTTTACGCTGGTTAACAGTGCCCAATTTGGGCGGCACAACGACTACTGTGCTTTGAAAGAGCCCCAACCCCATCAACGGCGCGTTTCGAACCAGAGAACACCGCCTCCACGACTGTCAACAGACTCCCTGATCGTAGCAGAGGGACCACACAAGCAACGAAAGAATTCCAAAACACCCAAAGAAAAGTTACTACCCAAAACACCCAAAAAAAGTTACTACAAAGACCGAAGATAATTATTACTGGACAGTAGCCGCCATTTACTGATAAAAATCGAAATTTACGCTCCGTTAGCAATTGATTTAAGATGCGATATTCCGAAATCATATGCACAAAAATTCCAGCGAAAAACTTTCAAGCCTATAGGGCATTTCCAAACAGCGCAAGGGCAAAAATAATCATCACTGGGCTACTTCCGCTGCTAAAAACCACTTTTTTGCTTCATTTTACAATTTTACAACAGAACTTGATTTTGAACAAAAATTGTAATCTAAAATCGAAATACGTCCGACATGCTGAATTTTGTCACGTCAACTTACACAGAAGTCAAAAATCAGAACAGATGAAATTACTATTGCAAAACGTTAAGAAAGGCTCGAGCAAATAGTAGAGACCAGTTGCTTTTCACAATTGGCCTTTGAAATATGTAACGAGTACAGTTGTCTTATTCCTGACAGATCTAGAGGATTGCTTCCAGTACGCGCTATGGAAGATTAGCTAGACTTGAAAAAAATATTGAGGACATAGACCGGGGAAGTATCCGATACGCTTTGGCCCTCCGATCATGAAAACGTCTTGAGTGATGTTCTTTCTGGAATGTTTCAACACTGGAGCATACTCCAGAGCAGTCATTGCTTATCCATTGAGTTAATTAATTTAATTATAATGTTCTATTCAATTATAAAGTTCAACAAAAGTGAGTTTTGGGTTGATCCATCTGAAATGGATCAAACATGCACTATCTAATGGAAAAAATAGGCTCCAAACCATGTTTTTAACGGCGTTTGCGTTTCCCAGGTTTTTGAGACCTGGGAATAAGGACGTTTAATGATTTTCTAGAATTGGAGGGGGGTGGTTAGTTAGAGTGGAGTGCGATCTGTAATTAGACAACTGCATATTTATACTCGTCAGTAAGCAGACAAATGCTATATTAGCCAATCAGAATCAAGATGGGAGAGCAAACTTAAAAAATAAAAAAATTATTAATTGTTAATTTCTTCCTAGTCTCGACTCTGATGGGTTAATATGATGTTTGTCTGCTTACTGACGAATAAGCGGTTGTCTAAATACTGCTACGTAGCCATTTAGAGTGGTTTATCGAATTAAGCCGGACATCAGAAGTCACGGATTGGTTCCGACAAATTGAGATACAAAAGCACGAGCAATAGTAACTCTATACCTTGAGCCAATAGTTATGGAGCCTATCCTACTTGAACTCACTAGTAATTTAAAGGAACGAATGGTACAAAGTTAGAAAAATAACTACGAGTTCATAACATGCTTTTTTTTATTCAGTAACGACCGGAAGCATCCAAGCTATCACACAATGATTAGAATAATCAAAAACACTTAGGAAACCAAGTTTGTATTGAAAAATATACTCCAATATCCGATCTTATTGATAATTCAACTCTAAAAAGGATTAGCTGAAAATAATATTTACCTGGTATAGGATGGTACATACATCAGCTTGCCTCCTTTTAGAATAGCCCGCGTATTCGGTTGTGAGTCAGTTCCAAAAGGGGCAAGCGCTGCCATTAAACTAGTTAACTGAAACAACAAAACACACTAGTTACACAATATCGATCTGATTGAAGGGATTAATTAAAGGAGCAAAATTGAAGGAAATAAAGGAGCTGATCGATAGAGGCGACAAACACGCCTTAAAGATAAGAAAACAACTGAGCTGAAGATGATCATTAACAAATGCTTACGACAAACGTGAATTTTCCGTTGCCAGTAATGTGAATTGGAGAGAGAGCCGCCTGTAATTTTTTTCTTCTTTTGTTTTTAGATAAATCAGGTCAGAAATTATCATGGTAACCGAAGTCACTTCAAAAATCCTTCATCTTATTAAACAGTCAAAAAATTATTGGAATTTTATTTTAAAATAAAATACTTTATTAGCAAATTGAAATAAATTTCAAGGAGCAAGTGATCAATTATATTCTAAGATGAGGTCAACAGGCGGGCAACTCTCCCGTTTGTACGGTTTAGCTAGAGTACACAAGGCTGATACACCCCTACGACCAGTACTATCACTTCCGGCCAGATCGTATGAGAATCTTAACAAAACGCTTGCAAAATTTTTTGACATCGATGGAGCGAATATAGAAACCAATACTAAAGATGCCAGAGAAACAATTGAAAACATTGCTCAAGATCCGGACGAAACCATAAAATCTCTTGATGTGAAAACTTTGTACACTAATGTTCCCCTGAAGCAAGTAATTGAACTTGCCTTAAAGAAGCTGTACAGCCAAGTGTCTCCTCCTGAAATTCAAAGAGCAATCATGAAAAGGCTTTTGAAAATGGCTGTCAGCAAAGTATGATTCAAGAGTAATGATTCATGGTATCTGCAAAGGAATGGTTCAGCAATGGTTGCTTACCTCGCTGTAATTCTGGCAAACCCATGGCTGGAAGCGTACGAGTTTGCACTGAGAAAAGAAATACCGGTAAGAACGGAGATACATCCAATGAATGACAAAAACGGTTTGTGAACATACTGCCGCAGTGTGCCAGTCGGTCATGTCTAGGGGTTTGACCTTGAGAAATACGCAATTTTGGAGTGAAATTTTAATTTTGCAAAATTCGAATTGAGCATGTCATGCTCAATTTTCTCGAACCAACTGAAAATGGAAAAGTCAGAAATCAGAACACCCGAATTAACAATTGCGGGAAACTACTCAAGAAAAAGGCAGGAAATTGCTGTTCGCAATTTCTCGATACGAAATATCAAGAGAGTAGAGCTGTCTTATCCCGAAAACAGGAGAAAACAACATTGACTTGAGGAAAGATCACTATTCGAATGGAATAGTGTGGACCTTCAACGGAATAGAGGACTACTCGAGTGTCCTAATGGTCCAAACGAAAACTTCAATTCTTGAGACAGAACTTACTTTCGTTATTGAAACTAATTGGCCTTAAAACTTATTTAGTTATATTAGTTAATTCTCAAGCTGCTCAGTCATAACTTACTCCTCATACTCGAGTGCGTCGATATGTAAGTTCCAATTTAAATTTCTCGAGTGTATTTTATGATAGTTATGTTGAGATAAGGCGAGTTTTAGGTTGATCCATCTGAAATGGATCAAAGTTCCACTGTCCAATAAAAAGTAACTAAGCGGATTGTTCCGACCCGGTTTTTAACGGCGTTCATGTATTTTGGGTATCCCGAGACCTAAGTATGGGGACGTTTTTATTTCTAGAGTGGGGGGGTATTTTGGTAGTGGCCTTTAAGCTGTAATGGGTTCCAGTCTCATGTCGCAAGCGAACCGAATTGGCTCCGACCGTTCTTGAGGCGGAAAAACACAAGAGATAGTGTCCCTGACTCTTGAGCCAATGGTTATAGGGCCTATTTTTCTTAAGCCTCATATGTGACTAAAGTAGGCGACTGTTACATAGTGTTTTTATGGCGCTCCTGGGTGTTTTTACGACATCATGACTACGGAGTCGAACCCACTTGACACAGCTCCGGGCTACATGCCCATTCTAGAGTACCGGTGGTACGGTTCAGCGGGAACGTGTAAACCTTCCGGTTGTACCGTGATAGCTTTTTAAGAAAACTCAAGAAAACTTCCTGGTACGCTCTCCGAACGAGGCTTAGCTAACCGAGTAAAGGGGGGCAACGAGGGGGACAAAAACACGAGCAAAAAAGGAAAACAAATAGGAACAAAAACTATAAAACGAAAAAAGACAGTGACTTTGATACCAAATTAGTTGGATCGAACCTTTGTATTAATTAAATAGTATACACATACTGTTTTACAAGACCGATCGTTTCGATCAATCTCGCAATTTAAACCAGTGACCTTGGTAGGGTGCCCGAGTGGGGGGCGTTGTTAAGGGTTTTTAGATAGATTGCGACCCAACCGGACCACTAGGAGACTTGACTGGAAAGGGTGACCAGTCGAGTGGGAAAGAGGTTCACAAGGATCGAAACGGACCACCAGGAGGCTTGAGTGGAAGAGGTGACCAGTCGAGTGGGAAAGTGGGTCTGCTGTCAAGGGCAGAACAGAGACAACCAGCACAGGGCCACTACAAGAGGACGCACAGGGGTGTTCTCAAGTCGGACAACGGGTATCGTTAGAATCCACATTACATTATAGGAAATAAGTGTAAAATTGGATAAGCGGAGTCCCATCGTTTTGAAACAGTTTTTACTCAAGCAGACCTGGAAACAGGTCTACGGTTTTCTCAAGAGAGGTTTAGCACCCGGCGCTTAAGGGATTTTTTGGCTTAAGAGGGGGGCTAAACAGGGGGGAGGTTAGCAGGGGGGCTGGTTAGGTTAGAGGTTGGCGGTTGTAAATTGTAAAAAGGGGGGAATTAGAGTAACTAGTTAATCGACATCGTTGATTTAGTTACATTAGCCATCAACACGCGTGATAACAATAGGTGGACATCCAAAACTTATCTCGAGTTAAGATTGGTACGCTGGTTGGATCGGTAGGGGGGAACGGATATAGACAGTTTTCGTGACACCTCATAAGACAACTAGTGGGGGGAGGAAAACGCGTGGCAATTAGGTACCAGACATTTTTTTTGAAAGAAGGTTGACATTTGTCTCCTTTGAATTTTAGGTGGGTCGATTACTCTGTTTTGTTATTTTTTCGGTACAGAATTTTATTTTTTCTATAGACATTGTTGCGTTTTGGGGAAGATTTGCGATTGGTTTTTAATACAAACAGGTGATCACAAGATACCTGCACACAAGTTGTGGCTCCCAATCGCTGGGAACATTCAAAAAGAGGTAACTAATAAAGGGGGGGCCAGATTTGGCAACCAAGAGAGGGTTTTTGGGAAAATTTTCACTAGAGCTTGAGTGGTGGTACAAGGTACAGACAACCAAGGAGTCCCTACAACGAAGAAGAAAGAAATCCTATATCCAGACACTCAGTAACGAGTCTTGGGACAGTACCGAACTAGTCTAGGGACATTGCAGTCTGGGGACAGTCTTGGAGCAACACAGTCTTGGGACAGTGCAACTTTGGGGCAGTCTTGGACCAGAGCAGTCTTGGTACGAAGCGGTCTTGGGACATTGGTCTTGGGACATTGGTCTTGGGACGTTAGTCTTGGGACATTAGTCTTGGGCCATTGGTCTTGGGACATTGGTCTTGGGACATTGGTCTTGGGACGTTAGTCTTGGGACATTAGTCTTGGGCCATTGGTCTTGGGACGTTAGTCTTGGGACATTGGTCTTGGACTATTGGTCTTGGGACGTTAGTCTTGGGACGTTGGTCTTGGGCCATTAGTCTTGGGACGTTGGTCTTGGGCCATTGGTCTTGGGACATTAGTCTTGGGCCATTGGTCTTGGGACGTTAGTCTTGGGACGTTGGTCTTGGGCCATTGGTCTTGGGACATTAGTCTTGGGACATTGGTCTTGGGACGTTAGTCTTGGGACATTAGTCTTGGGCCATTGGTCTTGGGACGTTAGTCTTGGGACATTGGTCTTGGGACGTTAGTCTTGGGACGTTGGTCTTGGGACGTTAGCCTTGGGCCATTGGTCTTGGGACGCTGGTCTAAAGGTACCAACGAGAAGTACTGGGACAACGCTGAACGGTCTTGGGACGGTAAAGAGAAAGTCTTGGAACAGCATTAGGAAGGGGGTACTACAAAAGTAATAGGTTAGGTTGAAGCACCAAGTATAACAACACGTTCCCTATCCTAACCTAACACGAAAAGAGCTTACAAGAGTTCAAGAAAAATTGTTTTTAGCGAATTATTAATTTCTTTTTCCTTGGAGTTTTTAAACCTTAGAATAGAATTTTTGTAGATAATAATATTGTAAATAATAACAATTGTAAATAATGAGGCGGAGCAGGGTACCGGTAGCTGAAAAAAGATCGACCGAAGCAAGGTATAATTCGTCGCTACGCAAAGCAACACCAATGGGTCCGAAGATAACAAAGAAGAACTTTTCAGTTAACATGGTCAGCACAAGGAGTACAGCGGAGAACAGGACGAAAGAGGGCACGGAAGGGGAGAGAGTAGGACCCACCATCGAGATTGATCTAGAGACACCCGATCAAAGTGTGGATGAAACAGGGAAGATGGCGACAGAGTCAACTCCAATGCCCAATACAGAGGAATCGAACCAGAAACCCATAGAGTTCTCACCGATAGATGACGCGGAAGATGCAATAGGCAACATCGAAGAAACGGTAAAAGAAGACTCTCAAGTAAAGAGGACATCTTTTACGGAAAAATTGGGAATAATGTTCGGAATAAAAACGAGAGAAAACGTGACTGAAGAGCCAAAAGCAGAAAGAGCACGAACATTTGGTACAGTGAGCACGAAAGCGACAGAAACCGGCCAGAATGAGGAACAAGCTAAAGCAGAGGCTATGGCCGAAGAGAAACCCACGGCTGACCCTGAAGAGACTACCATTGAGCTGGGCGATTTGTTGGCGAAATTAAATCAGATCGACAAAAGACTTAAGAACAGTGAAGAAGACAGAGAGGTGATAAAAAAGGAGATAAGATACAACAAGCACGAGTATCTAGACAGTTATTTTAACCTAGCCAAAGCAACAGAGGAGAGACTCAAGGAAAT